CCATACTCTAAATCAGTGTCCACTTTATGACACTGACCAGTGCTGAAATTCATGGGTCCAGGAATCAAGGGGTGGAGGCAGGAATGGTACCACTCACCATTACCTCTAGTGACCCACCAGAAAAGTTGTTGCTTCCTATCCCTGCAAACTTATGCTCTGCGGGCCTAGAAGTCTTAGTTCCAAAAGAAGAAATGCTTCTGCTGGGAGGTATAACAATGATTTCATTAAAATGGAAGTGAAGACTTCCCCCTGGTCACTTTGGGCTCCTCATGTCTCTGAGTCAACAGACTAAGGAGGGAGTTACGGTACTGGCAGGGATGATTGATCCATATTACCAGGGAGACACTGGACTATTAGTTCACAATGGAGGTAAGGAAGCATACTACTGGAATGTAGGAGATCCTTAGAGTGTTGCTTGGTATTACCCTGTCCTGCTATCCAGGTCAATGGGAAACTACAACAACCGAATCCAGGCAAGACAACAAATGTCTCAGACCATTCAGGAATGAAGGTGTGGGTCACACCTCCAGGGAAAGAGCCAAGATGTGCCGAGGTGCTTGCTGAAGGTAGAGGGAATAAAGAGTGGGTAGCAGAAGAAGGTAATCCTAAATACAAACTATAGCCATTAAGAATATGTTTGTACATAGTTACACATGCAATAAAATGATATGTTTGTTACTCTGTTATTCATCAAGTAATAGAATACTGATTGACTTAACATTAGGGCTTAAAGTAACTGTTTTTGTTTTCCTTATACTCTAGGGAATAACAGTACTGCATATTCCATTATACAAAGATTAGTTATGTTAGTTGGAGTTGTCACCTTGTTATTGTGTTTATTTGGAGATTAAGTATGATATAAATAGTCAGGTTTGGACATCAAATTGACAAGATGTAGACTAGTAACAGTTAATTTGAATTGTCAACTTGATTGGATTAAGAGATACCAAAGATCAAGAGGCATTGTCAAAGAATGATTGGCATATATGATAGCAAACTCAAGTGCAGCCCCTCCCTAAGTGTGGGCAGCACCACCCAAAAGGATGGTGGCCTGGATGGAATAAAAGTTGGAAGAACAAGGAAGCAGCAGCAGATAGAAGCTCAAATCTTCTTGAATGGATCTTAATTGTGCCTGCGATCACCTGAAGCTATCAGACTCTTCCCTCCTTCACTYTTTCAAAGTGATCTCTGCCAGTGAATTCTCCAGGGAGTTCCCAGAAGCCTTTGATCTTGGGCTGGGGTAGCATCTTTGAACCCTCTTGTTCTGAGGCTTCAACCTTTTACAGTGTGCAGCTACTGGTTCCTCCAGTTCTCCACCCTACAGATGGTCATAGTGCACACTCCAGCTTCTGGTTCTGTAAGCCAATCTAATAAATCCATTTTTCATAATCTTACTTCCTGTTGATTTTGTTCCCTAGGGAACCCTGATTAATACATTGTCACCTCCTTATGAGAATGGCTAAATTAAGAACAACCAGCTGCCACAGCCTTGCCACCACCGGAGGTTTATTCTCAGTGTGCCACCACTTGCTGTAACTGCTACCTGGAGATCTACTGCCAGAGTGCATGCAGGTTTGGTTGCAGCGACCACCTCCATCTTGGGATACCAGCCAGGGCCTGGGGGACCAAGGTGCCTTTAGGTTTGCTGCCACCGCCATCTTGGGATGCAGCCAAATTTGGAGACACTGACCAGGACCTAGAAGTCCAGCATTGAGGTGCCTATGGGTTTGGCTACAACTGAGGTCTTCCTGCTGGGAGTGCTAGTGACCACCATCTTACTGCTTCATCCTAGGGTCACCCCTTTGTGTGAGTACACCCCTGGTGGTCTCAGCAAATTGGAACATCATTGAGTTCTTAAGGCTGCAGTGAGGTAGAGCCTGTGATATCTGAAGCCCAAATCTGTCAGATAGTGACTGAATTGTCTTGGATCAGTCTGGGCCAGATGGTCCTGTGAAAAGTTGGAGAATTTTGCCCAGGGGAAGCACAGGTTGGAGAGACTGGAGGGAGCCAGGCTCTCCCAAGTTCCACGGTCCTGAAGTACTCAGGGACGGATGGGGCTGGCTACATCAGGTTGGAGGGTTGGAAGATGGTGTGAGGTCATCTTGCTATCAGCTCACCCATCCAGGCAGTCCACCACCCACCAGACTAGAACTCCTCTCTTTCACTCTTTTCTATTAATTTTTACTTCTATCTTCTCTCCTCCCTCAATGGAATAACATCCTACAYTACTTCAGATTGTGCTTTGTCCACCATTTGAAATTATGAACCCTTTTAGCAAACTTACTTTTTCATACTGTAGACAATGACTATTGCTATCTCCAAGAGACTCACCTCATAGGCAAAGACATCCACAGACTGAAGGTGAAGGGATGGGAAAAAAACATGTCACTCACATRGACTGCGTAAATAAAAGCAGGGATTTCCAAACCTTCATATCAGATAAAGTGGACTTCAAGCCAAAAGCCACAGTTAATCAGAAGGGACCAAAAAGAACATTTCATACTGCTTAAGGGAATTATACATCAAACATAGTAATCATAAATATTTATGCACCAACAATGGAGTACTTATATACATCAAACAAACCTACCTCAATTTCAAGAATCAAACAGACCACAACACAATAATACTGGATGACTTTAACACACTGCTCTCACCACTGGATAGATTCTCCAAACAAAAACTAAATAAAGAAACTATAGAACTAAATAATACAATCAATGATTTAGACTTAAAAGACAGAATACTTCATCCATTAACGAGTAAACACACTTTCTTCTCAGCAGCACACAGATCCTTCTCTAAAATAGACCATATCTTATGCAAGAAAGCAATAATTAGCATATACAAAAAATATAGATAATAACTTACATTCTATCAGATCATAATGGAATAAAATTAGAAACCCAACTATAAAGTAAAAAATAGAAGATACTCAAACACCTGGAGACTAAATAATACACTACTAAATGATGAATGGGATAGCAGAAGAAATCAAGGATGAAATAAAAAATACGGGACTCAGTTGGTAGAGTGCTGGTCTCACATGCATAAGGCCCTGGGTTCAAGCCCAGCAACACACCAAGAAAAAAAAGAAAGAAAGAAAGAAAGAAAGAAAGAGAGAGAGAGAGAGAGAGAGAGAGAGAGAGAGAGAGAGAGAGAGAGAGAAAGAAAGAAAAAATACTTTGATGTAAATGAGAATCCCAATACAACATATTAAAATCTCTGAGATGCTATAAAGGCAGTACTGAGAGGAAAGTTCATTATATTGAGCTCATTCATTAAAAGATTAAAAAGTCAATGAATAAATGACCTAATATTAACATCTCTAAGCCCTAGAAAAAAGAGGAACAAATCAACATCAAAAGCAGTAGTTAACAGGAAATAATTAAAATGAGAGCTGAAATCAAATGAAAGAAACAATTCAAAAAACTGACAAAACAATTTTTTCAAAGAAGCCAACTTTTTAAGTTGATAAACCCCTAGCTACAGTATATATACAGAAAACTCAAATTACTAAAATATGTGATGTTGGGCTGGGGATATGGCTCAAGCAGAAGCATGCTTGCCTGGCATGTGCGAGGTGCTGGGTTCGATCCTCAGCGCCACATAAAAATGAAATAAAGATGTTGTGTCCACCAAAGACTTAAAAATAAATATTAAAAAAATTTTCTCTCTCTCATAATGGACACTACTATATCATATCATAATGGACACTACTATAATATCAAAGATAATTAGAAGCTGTTTTGAAAAGTTATGCTCCAATAAAATAGAAAATCTTGATGACATCAACAAATTTCTAGGGACATATGATCTACCCAAACTGAATCAGGACATACATAATTTAAACAGATTGATTTCAAGCAATGAAATAGAAGATGCCACCAAAAGCCTACCAATCAAGAAAAGCCTAGGACCAGATAGATTCTCAGCCGAATTCTACAAGACCTTCAAAGGAGAACAGGAACTGCTCACAAATGCAACGGCCTGGATGAACCTCAAGATATTTATGCTCAATAAAATAAATTAGACCAGAAAGAATATGTTCTACATGATTTCACTTATCTATAATTCTAGAAAACAAAAACTTACTCATATGAGGGAAATTAGATAAACCACTGTTTGGGGATAAAGACTGGTATAAAGCATGAGTGAGGCAGAGGGTCCTACAGAAACTTTGGAGAATAAATGCATTTACTGTTTTGATTGTATTGTGGTTTTCCAGGGTATATACACGGCAATACTTGCAAAGTTATATATCATATTTGTAGCCTTATATCAAGTATACATCAATAAGCCTGTTTTTTTAATTTGCATCTTTTAAAGAAAGACCAGAATCCAAGTTTTCTTTCTTCTTGTGCAACTATAAAATTGAATAATTTCGCCTTTCTTGAAACAAAAATCACATTTAGAATTTTTAAAACAGTATTTCAGTGAAATAGTAAATTTACTACATTAAATATTAGCCAATATTTATCAAACACATTTTAATATGCATTTGTAGAAAATTTTATGAAGGGCCAATGAGTAAATATTTATCAATCCAAAAATATGCCAAAGGCAGCCATAAAACTGTTTAGAATCCATATTGATCTGCAAAAATTACAGTTTCTTCTATAAGCCTTATTATAACATGAGAGCAACACCAATCAAAAACTCAAAATGCCAACCTAATAAACTTTTCAGAGCTCTATTAAACAACACAATATAATGTGTTGTTTGATTTAAAAAATAAATAAATAAAAGAGCAAAGATATTCCATAWTGGTTCTTAGGGGAAGGTTGGCATAGAAAGAGTCAACAAGAATGAGAAAAATAACATAAAAGAAAAGCTAACCTGAGGTTCAAAACAACAAGAAAAAAAAGTAGAGATACAGTAAAATTTCAAGAAGTCAGCCTGTTTATGTGACTCTTAGGATAGAAATAACTTGCTACAAATGACATTATCATTAGTTGACATTTAAAGACCATAGCAAATATAAATAAAATAAGTCTCACCCCAGGTAGAACAACAGCTCCGAGTCCACCTTTTAATTTGGACCTGCCTCTGCCACCTCGTCCTGACAGGCCTGCACCGCGAGGCCTCCGCTTGCCTGGGAATCCAGAGCCCCGGCCCTACATAACAGATGAGGGTAAGTCAACAATCTGGAAGAGCCCAAAGAAATGTTTAGATCCAAATGTGAGATACAACATTAAATTCAATGTTACACAGATACTTGCCTCTCTTTTATTCTGATTAGATGACACATAATAAAAGATAAGTCTTATGTACCCTTTATGTATTCCACAACTTAAAACTTAAGTATAAAATATTGATATAATCTTGGAATCAAAGGTTGTGCCTTTTCTGTGTGTGCATGTTCTCCCTCAGCAGGCCTTGGCATTACTTTTTCATCTCCTGTTCCTACATTCTGCATGGCTAGCAGAGCCACACCTCATCCAGTTTTTTTTGATGTACAACATTCATATTCAATGAAAAATAGGTAGAAGGAAAGACTCTGGACAACTGGTCTCTCAGGGATAATAATAATATCTAGTGTTTATGGAGTAGTTACTATGTCCTGATCCAAGCACTTTTTACTCTCAATGAACCCATAGAGGAGATGCTTGGTTTATTAACCCCACTTCAGAGATAAATGTAATGAGATCTAAAAACTTCAAGTTACTTGTCACAGGAGCAAATCTGGCTCTAGTCCCTATTTTTTAACTAGTATTCTGCACTGCTAATTTGCATGAAATTTCATTATTGCTAGTGTTAAACTACATTCTTACTGTCAAAATTAAGTCAATTTCCTGGATTATTCATAGCTATCCTATGAAGTGAACATGTCAGCTTCATTTTACCATAGTATTAAGGGGGAAAATTATTTAAAGATTATGGGAAAACTGAAAAAAAAAGGGTTAAAGTTTTGCTTTAAATAAACTTAAAATGAGAATTATTTATTGGACATTTTACTCAACACATGAAAAAGTTCCTATGGGAAAACATGTTAAATTCCCTAGTATTTTAAAAATGTAAGTACCAGAGTTTGGGGTTCCCCCACCTTGTTTATTCTCTGACTTATGTATCATTCCTGGGGGGAAAATGGCATTTATACAAATACATATATTATRTACACTTAAAATTGTTAAAATAATCAGAAAAATTCTTTCTGATGTTTTCCCCTAATGATTTAAATAATACCTCTTCAATCGATGTCACTTGGCAGATGTGCTGAACTCATTTCTCATTTAGTAGAATAGTTTCCAGTCAAAACTGATGGTGATGTTGCGAGAATAACATACACATACATACACACACACACACACACACACACACACACACACACAAACAAAGGCAAGGAAGGTTGTTTTCCCCTTTGATTTTAATTAATATAACTGCTTTCCAGGTTTCAAATTGTCTCTCCTTGTCTTCTCTTACTCTGTCTCCCCTAGGTCCTCTGAGACAAAGGTCCATCAGCTTCTTTGAAAAGGGATGGACAGGAAGAGGTTGGACTGGACAATTTTTTGTAAAAGTAGTATAGAAGATTTCATTGAAGTTAAAAGGCACTAATTAAAAACCAGGGCAACAGTCATCTCTGAATTTATTTTCCCTAATGTCAAATAATGCAGATAAGAAAGTATTCAAAAACTGACAGCATTTGCTGTAAAACTGTCAAACTAATCATCTTTTACATGCTCAAAACAAATACTTAAATACTTTCCAATATCTGGGTAAGTTAAAAAACAGTTCTGATCACAATAGAAAATAAAGTACAATCTATAATCACTGAAATCCTTCATCAGTCTAAATATTAAAGACTTATTCCAAAATTATATAAAATATAGAACATGAAAAAAATTATATTCTATACCCAATTATATTTCAAGTTTTGAGATGACTGATATTGTTTCAAATTGATGTTTTCCCTTCAAAATGTATCATTAACTTACTTCAAGGACTAGAAGAATCATCCACCAATGGCATGGAAAAAAGCTCTATGATTCTGAGGTTAACACAATGAAATCTGATGCAATTCTGGTACTTCTCCTCCCTTAATACATAATAGATTAATGGAGCTTTTCCCTCTGTTCTTTTCTAAGGAACAGAAATGTTATGATGTCATGAAGAAACAATTCCTTGATCATGGAGTGACCTGTGTGACAAGGACTTCCCCCTTACAGAAACACTGCCTAGTAACTAAAGGAGTTAACCATAAACAGAGTCACTAAAAATTACACTTGTAGAACTACAATTAACTCTCGTATTCTAGCTCTTACAATGAAAGCATATTATTTCTTTAAGAAATTTTAAGATTTAAAAAGTGGCTCTGAAAGCTAAATCTAGAAAAGACAGGTTTGATTCTTAACATCCAATAGGACAAAACAAACCAGAAAGAAATGATACATGAATGTAAATGCAATTTTATTTACCACTTTGATGCTCCAAATGGCACTGCCAGGAAGCTGCCTGGGTTTAAAAATTTCCCGACCTTCTGAAATGTCTGGGGACCAGGAAGGTGGGCTCACTGTATTATGGGTACTCCAAGCCCCCTAGGATATGGCAGGTGAGAAAATAGATGTATRAAACTTAGCAACATAAAAGATCAAAGCCAGCAACTAAGGAATCTTAGAACAGCAAAAACAAATGCAAACGTATGGAAATTTAGGACATATTGCTTCAAGATAGGGAAAATAAACTTATCACAGTGACTTCATACTTATATGTTTGCAGCTATAATTTACATTAAATATTTTATTCTGGTTGAAACATCACTATAATAAGACATTAAAAATCGAGGTTTATATGACACCAACAGTGACTCATAAACTACAATAATAGCACACAAAAAAGTCAGTCACATGAAGAATCAATAGAAGAACTATTTGGGGATATTTTCTTCTGTCAAGTATCACTGTGCTGAAAATGTCAAACTGCTAACATCAAAGAATGTGATATCCTATTATAACCAAATCAGTAGGCCAAAAAATGCAATCAGAAACATGAGTGATCAATAAATGTACACACTTTAAACCATGAAATGTTAGTATGTAACATTGAAATGCAAATAACAAAATCTTAGTGTTTAGTAACACTTCCTTCAAATGGTCATTAGTTGTAAATTTTTATTTTTTATTTAGTAGCATGAATATCTTATAAATAGGGACAAAATTTTATGAAAAGTGAGGAAATATTCAAGCAAATTGTCCTAAATTTGCAAATTAAAATGCCTAAAGTACCTAATAAACTACATGGGAAATAGTCTTAAAAAGAAAAAAAAAACAGGTTAAAAAACAAAAAAAAACTAAGGCATTATACTTCCAAGTAAGCAACATTCATTAATAATCTAGAATTAATCTGATGAAGATGATAAAGAGCATAAAGAAAAATGTTTAAATTTTCTCCAGGAAAGTAACTTTCAGAGAGGGAAAAAAGAAAAATCAAAACAACTAAGAACTTATTTTGTATTTGGTAATTCAATGATATGTGCTATTAACTTTAATAACCAAAACTAAAGACATTGTTCACAGTACTTACCAGGTTTCTAGATTACCAAACTAAATAAATAAGAATACCATTAATTACATAAAAATGACACATGAATTAAAACAAGAAACACGAGTTTTGACTATTCCACTTAGGAAGAAAGATGGTTAATGAAATAACAGTGTTTTGAAGGAAAAAAAAAACATAGGAGGGAGAGACTGGTTTCATTTTTAATTCATAAACTATAGCCACAACCATTTTAAGCCCATTCAACACATTATCTCCAGCACAAACTACTGTTTGGTCTTCAGTCATATTCTGGGTTTTTTCCCAGACCATCCAATCTCTAACCCAGCTTTTTCCACACTCAGCTTACCAGAGATACACCACAACATGAGAACCATCTTGGATGAACCTTCAACTGTGTCTCTGGTCCCTACTGTGCTGGTTCAGAGACTCTGGTAATCACTATGCAGCAAAAGTCCTTTCTATTCTTATTTTAATCAAGCCCTGACATCTGCACACAGCTCTGCTGCATTTTGTGGCAGCAGCACATTCACAGGTACTGCCCACCCTGCTGATCTTTCTCCATCTCATATGCATATTCTTCCTCCACCTGACTCCTGAAGTGCTAGAGCTTCCCAGGGATGAAGCACAAATTTTAAATAGTATCATCCTCTTCCCACCACTCCTTCAATCCAGTCATCACCAAGACTAGAACCTCTGAGCTTTGTCTCAGGTCTATGCCCTGCACTGCCACTGCCAGCAGCCTCCTACTGGCTCCCACCCTCTTACCCCACCCCATGCAACCACCCACTAGGTTTTATACTTCCTGCCCACTGAGGTCTCCTCCAGTTCTTCGCCCCTGGTCCATCTGCCCCCAGCAGCCAGAGGAAGTTTCCAGAAACATAAGTCTCCTCCAGCACATCACTATTGTATCTTGAGCCCTCTGACTGCTCCTCAGTGCACTGGAATACAAACCACCCTCATCCTCATCCTATGGACACATCTCCCTGCTGGTAAACCAACCTAGCTACCCTGGCTTCCTTGCTGTCCTTTAAACATGCCTAGCTCTTCCCAATCATGGCCCAACAGACTTAGAACCCTTTGCTACTCCAGCTCTCCATGGCTACTTCAACTTCTGCTCCTGCTCCTCCTCCTGCAGGTCAGGCATTGAGCACTGCCAGTCCAGCAGGCCTTCCTCAGCATTGCAAATAAGCCATCAGCTACTTCCCTCACCACATCTGTGGCATCAACAACTAAGGTGTCTCACTGCTTGTAACATTATTTAGTTGCACAGAAAGCTGGGGCAAGAAATAATTAACTTTACTTCTCTCAATATTTCCACTGGCTTTTCTAGGAGGATATGAGTGCTCATCTCAAATTTCTTTTGGTATATCTTTTAGTGTGATGTCTGTAGACCATTCTCAAGATACATAATAAAAAGTCATACTCTAAGATAAAAATAATATTGATTTTTTTCATGAATAAGAATTTTCTTGTGATTATGTATTATTCATCACAATTTAAAAGTTAGCTTTGATGCAAAACTATATTTCATTTCCAAAAGCATTTACATTTCATATAACATGGATAAACCAGATGAAGGGCTTTATAGATCAAGAATGTTTGGATGCCATTTTGGTGATAACTAAGAAACTACTCAACTGCTATGAAGAATTTATATAATAAAAGCTTGGGTAATTACACTATGAATTTTAATAAGTATATTATCATAAGACATTGGAAGACAGATTATGTGCAATTTTATAGTAACTAAAGCAAATTATGATTATATATACATATTTTGACAAAGAAGAAATCACCTAAAATATTCTTTAAACCTTAAAACCGAAATACAGTTGTAATTATCAAACTTTAGTTATAAATTATCCCTCAGATCTCAGCTTTGATCAAACAGAACTTGCACAACCATTCAAAAAGGTTGGCCCCATCTGCACCTTATGTGCTCTGCAGTGGCACAGCAGCACCCTGTCCTGGCCCTGTTCCACAGCACTCACCCCTGACCAATCTGGAGAAGAAGCCATGCTGTTTTTGTTCTCTGCTAAGTTCTCTGTTCAGCAGCTATTCAACACTTTTTTTTTTCCTTCTGAGAATCTATTGTCTTTTTTGGCATGAATGTATATATGAATTAGTTCATCAGTAAACAATGTACTATACTATAAAATACACTAATCCTACCAATAGTATCTTGAGCCCTCTGACTGCTCCTCAATTCACTTGGAATACAAAACACCCTCATCCTCATCCTATGGACAAATCTCCTTTGTTTTTGGATTTCCTTGCACATTAAAAAAAAAAAAAAAAAGGCAATCTATCCCAAGGTACTCTATATATGCTCTTAAACTACCAAAGGGTTAATATGACTAACCCTTATATCCCAAGTTCAATTCTGCAAATATGTCAATACAATTGACACGGGAACATTAAAATAGGTCAGAAATCGTAGAGTTTATGTATATTATTGTAACTGCTATGATAAAATGATTAGGATATATATGAGTTTTCATAGGTGTTCCACATCTGGGAAGATGAGACAAAATATGTTACTCTAAAAGGTAATAATCAGGAGACTATAAATTATAGAGAGCTAAATAGAATCAATTTATTACAAATCCTAAAAAATTTTTAAAATGCCATCTGGCAGAGACTGAATTAGTTCTGAAGAATAAGTATTTAACCTCAAAAATTATTCAAAGTTAGCATTAACCTTCTTTCTCCTTGTGGCCAATAGCGCAGGTAAATTTACCAACCAAGTAAGTACATAGGAATCACAAGTCTATGGGGTAGAAATCAAGATAATGGCAGATATGACCAACTCTCTATTAAAAGTCAAATTCTACTGCTGGTTGTTAAATGTAACCAATGTCACTACTAGAGTCCAAGACTACCTTCAGTTTTAGGAGCAGCCAGAGGCAATCTGGTGCCTCATGGGCAACTTCACACCTTTAAGTCCAGCCTGCACCATCACCTCCCCATCCCAACATTCTCTGCAAAGCCAACACAATTATAAAACACCCAGCGAAACTGAGAGAAAGTAAAAACAACTAAAAAGGTAGAGAAGAAAGGGAGATAACAGTAAAAAACAACAACAACAACAAAAAAAACACAACCATAAGAGTTTGTCATTTGCCTTTTTGGTAAATACATTCACTCACATCTAGACCTCATTTTTGTGTCTTACATTTTTTTTTAACATAAAAAAAGTCTCAAATACTGAGTTCAGTATTAAACAGAATGAGAAATCACACCTGATCTTAATTATATGACACTATAAAAGTATGAAAATAGCCATCAGCCTTGGCCTTCAATTATTTCAGAACATAAATGTGGTCAGTACTAGCAATGGTTTCAGCAATGGCTTTAAATATACCTCTTAGGGCACAAGAATGTCTTTAATTTTACACTCCAAAGGACTGGACTTTTTTAATGTTTAAATCAATGGCTTCCTAGTGGTTTGGACAAGTGCTTATTGGACTTTAGCAAGCATGGAATCTTTTTAGAATAAATGTTTTGACTTAAGGTAGAGCCAGAGAGTACACCCCCCAGGTCACAAGGTCTGGGTGGGAAAGGCTCAGTCTTCACACCTCCAGAAGCCTACAAACCTGCAGGGGTTTCCTCAGCTCCCTCTGCTTTCTCAGTTATCCTGTGGTATCCTCTAGTACAGCATGTATCACCCATCCTGCATGTGATGGGCTATTTAGAAACTCTAAAAACATACACAACCATTATGGGGCTTTGAATTTGGGAAGCCTACAAATCATATTTACTGTTACAAGCATGTTACACAGTCAAGGACAGGAGTTGTTTTCACTGGTGAATTCCAGCACAGTCATTCATCAATTCGTTTGATTTAAGGACTACCACTCCAGAGCTGCATATGATACACAATTATACCCTTCTTAGGTATCCATTCTCACAATTATTATCTGCATTATTCTGCAATTCAAGAATTACGAGTATTTAATCATGCCAAGTGCTTTATATGTATCATCATTAAATTCCAACAGAAAACCACATGCTATCCTTCTATAGATGAAGAAAT